GGCTACACAAAGTTATGCTAGCATAACTGAAGAGCCGAGCAGTACAGGGAGTAGATCAGGGTGGATGTTTCCCGAGCAAGCATTGCTGTCGAGCACTCTTTCTTATGATCTTGCCACAGCATAAACAATGCTGTTTTAACTTTCTTTGTTCTTTAACGCTTGTGACATAGAGAAAAATATGCTAGCATAACTGAAGAGCCGAGCAGTACAGGGAGTAGATCAGGGTGGATGTTTCCCGAGCAAGCATTGCTGTCGAGCACTCTTTCTTATGATCTTGCCACAGCATAAACAATGCTGTTTTAACTTTCTTTGTTCTTTAACGCTTGTGACATAGAGAGAATTTGTGCGTGATTTCACCCAAATCATTATTTTTGCTGACTACTATTAAAGCAAATGATTTGAATAATTGACTATGGTGATTCATATGTAGGAAGAGATTCAAAGAAGTCAGTGTTCATTTATTATGATGTATTTGTCAGTAGCCTGCAGTGTTCTTGGTCTGATTCATAACCTATCTCTGCAGCAGGGACAATAATGCATACTTGAGTGTTAGGGTAGACAGCTGGGGATGATAATCTCTTCAGCTAGTCTAGCAGAAATTTCCAATGCCTATGAATCAGTGCCCTAATGCAGGGCTCCCCTAGTATGGGGCAGAGGGAAGCTGAAAATAGCTGGGTTTCTCATCCATTCCTCTTATAACTCAGCTTAATGCTTCTTCTGTACTCAAGTCATTAAGTATTTCTGTGTGTGTTTCCTAAACACGTTTCCCAAAGCTTGGGGATACCTCAAGTGTGGGTATCTTTTGAAGAAAAAAAAATGCTAACAGTGTTCTTGTCTATATGACCAAAGCAAAAAAATGAACAAACAAACAAAAAACTAAAACCATACATCTGGGACCAAAGATTAACTTCCTACTTTTAGAGTGGGGAAATGCATCTCATGAGAAGTAGTGACTCTAAGCAGGCTTTCAGATAGGCAGTCAGCATGAGAAAAGCCTCACCTAAAACATCAGATCCCAGGGCAACACTAAATCAGAGCTCTAAAATACATCTGAAAATAATAAATAGGGGAATTTTGAGTAAAAATGAACTTGGTTCTGAAATATTATGTCTAGTTTTGATGTAAGTTAAGTTAGAAAGTCCATTGATAAAGCAAGGTTCAGGGACCAATTGCAAGAATGATTAAAGGGCAGGAAACGATGCCTTCTCATAGGCTTAACAAAGCTATTTCGCTTTTAGGCTTAACAAAAAGGGCATTAGGGGATAATTCAGTTACAGTCTGTAGGTACTCGGGAGGCATAAAGCTTTTTCTATTTTGTAATATTTCCATTACCCGGAGAGGTAGTGGAGTCTTCATCCTTGGAGATATTCAAAAGCTGTCTGGACACAGTCCTGGGCAATGTGTTCTAGGTGACCTTGCTTGAGTAGGGGAATTGGGCTAGAAGATTTCCAGAGGCCCCTTGCAACCTCAGCCGTTCTGTCATTCTGTAATGAAGACTTGCAGCTCTAAAAAGAGAGAGATTCAATGAGTTTCAGCGACTGGAAGTTAAAGCTGGTGTACTTCAGGCCACATAGGCATGATAGTTAACCTGTATTTAGCCACTAGAGCAATTTAATGAGGGATGCAGTGAACCTGCTGTTTCAGAAAGAGTTGCTCACTCTTCCTTAGTGAATTTAAGAACCTCTTGTAAGAGCAGGAAGAGACATTATAAATGCAGTAGTGCCTCGTGTTCTAAAAATCTGTAAGGCTACCCAGTGAGTTCCCTGGAAAAGAATAGAGATTTAATTTGCTAATTGCGTGAAGTTAGTAAGTTATCAGTGTCTGTTCTTCACTAGGAAAAATATTCTGCTTAACAGTAGTGGATTTCCATAATCCTCTCCTTAAATTCACTCTCCTCTTTCACTCAGAGAGACTTTCAAGCTTAGTTTCAAGATGAATAAAAGCGTATTGTCTTATTCACTGATGTGATATGGGAGTGCCAGGC